TTCGATTGTCTGTGATGAAAATCCGGGCTGGTGAGAGAGCAGTCTGATAGCTTGCATATTAATGCAATGTGATGTAATTAAAACATCAATAAAGAAATCCATTACATTTTGAATGTTATGTGTAATGAAATAGTTTAAGTGACCGTCTTCAGTGTATCTCTGTTCTCAATAGATCACATCAAGACAATTTCTGGATGGCTGAATCATGACTAAATACAGATATTATCCACACTGATCTGAGAGAGAGAGGAAGAATGTAGACTGTGCATAATCATATGATACAGAGCATTACTATTAACATGTGGTGTAGAGTTTTAACAGCAATAACAACAGTGTATAGCTTAGAAAAAAAGCTGGGAAATCTGCCCATGAGCCTTATGAGACTCTTATTTTCTGACTTAAGTTAAAAACAATGTAATGAGCCACTCTGTTCCCTTTGCAGACAGTAGAAAGAGTGCCATTGACTTCAGTAGGAGTTGGATCAGATGCTTTCTGAGCTATTTTCAGAGAAGCCCCTTATAGTAGCAGTGGGAATATTTGTCCTCATAGCAGGTACAGTGAGAAAACAGACTTTAGGCATAAAGAGGTGTTCCTTGAGTCCAGGTGAGACAGGAGGCAACAGTCAAGTCCCTGGAGGTACCATAGGGTTTGAAAGATTGATGAAGCTCTTTGTAAGGAATAGTTCACTGTGCACTGTATCTCTTGTTTTATGTTGCTTACTGTTATGGCACTAGAGGCCACATAACAGATGTTGTCCCATTTCTGTTGAAATGAATGGTAAAAAAACTCCCCTTGACGTAAGGGAGAGCAGAAATTGAGCCTGATAGGTTGTTTTATGTAATGTGAAAGTCTGTTGGCGTATCTCTGTCCCAAGGTGTGAATTAGTATTTCAATTATGGGGACTGCAGCATTGCCGTTGTCATTGTTTAGTAATGAGAGTGAGGCTGCTGATGGCAGAATCCAAGTGTGGGCTGCTCTCCTCTGTGTACATGAGTCCTGGGGAACCAAACAGAAATAAAGCTCGCAATTATAAGGCCAAGTTCAACTCAAATCCAATAAACATTGGGTTCATATTTTGGAGTCCAGTCTTGCCTTGTTGAAGTCAATAGTGAAGATCTTACCGACTTCAATGGGAGTAGGGCCGAGCTAATGTTTAGGTACAAGATTGTGAGGAAAAGGAGGGAGTTGGATGTCGTTTGGGATGACATTTTGCAATTTTTTTAAGATGCCTCTGGGCGCACAGACCATCATGGGCTGACACATTGCTGTAGTGCCCCTCCAGTCACTGGAGTTATGCTGATTTATGTAAGCACAGGATCTGGCTTTTCAGCAGTGATGAGGGGCATTAGGAGACGGATGAGTCCCTACTGTGCTAGCCAGTGCACAGATGTATGGTGAAAAGAGTCACTGATCTAGAAAGTTTATAATGCTTCTACTAGCCTCTGGCATGCTCTGGGCATAGACAAAATCTCTGGTTTACCACAAAACCTTGGCTGATACAAGCATTCATATCCTGCGTGACTATATGGAGGGCCATATTCACACCCACAAGCACGGAGGGCCGGTTTGCTGTGTCGCGGAGGTGGGGAGACGGTGACAGAATCTGTCGGCATCCATAAGAGCCGCCTGCCTGCAGGATCTGCCCGTGGAGATGATGAATCAGCACGTCTGGGTGTTAGGCTGGCCCCACCTACACATGAAAGCTAATTCAGTGCATCGCTTTTTACTCCACTCCTTCTTAGCCTAGAAACAAAACTAGACTGACAGTCCTTTCATGACTATTTTAAGAAGCAAGGCAATGCATTTAAATGCAGTCACTCCAGCTAATCTGACGCTGCTATTATGTGAGTCTTTGGATTAAGACTACAGGAGTTGGTTAAAATCCCTCGCTACTTCTGTCAGGCTTGTGGGGAAGCTGCTGTAAGGCATCTGCTCACCTTTAAAGGGGATAAGTACGAAGGGTTTCATCTTTTGTGAATGTACTGGAAGTTGCGCTGATGTCCTGGAGGATAGAGAAAATACCCTTTGGCTGCTGAGGGGAGATATGCTTTGCTCTGGAGCCTGTTCTTGGTGCCCTAACTCCTACTGGCTCCAGGGGAGTCCCTGATGATTAGCAGGTATTCAGCCCCCCTAGCTTGGCCAGTTATCAAGCAGCTACTTTTTATTATTATTTGATTTATTTTTTTAGTAAGGATAACTTATGCTTTTAAACAGAATGGGGAAGGGAAGCATGCACCCTTTTTAACAGCATGAACTATCCTCCCTTATAAACCCTAGGAGCTGAATTCTGATTTGTTCAGAAGCACCCTTCGAGCTAATACCCAGGGGCCTGTCTAAGCTCTTGCGGTGTTTTTGTTCCTAAATGTCCTGCTTGGGATCCCAGACCCTTTGTGGTATAAATAAAATAGGGTCTAGTCATGTACCAGGGTAACATGGATGAACATAGGTTTATTTTTGTAAATCATATATGTAAATAAATTAATAGCTAATATTTTGGACATATCTGGCTCTTTCCCCATTACTCCAATAACAACCCTTACCCATTTCCATGCTATGGAATACATACAGCACATTATCCTAGCTTTCTTTGTTTTAGGATAGTGTGTGCCACTATTGTACAGAAAGTAACAACCTCTAATGCTCTGTATCAGCTGTGGTCTATCTACTGTTCTCATAAGCATCTTATTCTGATGATTGTTCCCAAGCACTCAGTGAATGATGACAAGATCTGGGTATTCTTTGTTATTATTTAGTCTCTTTGTTCTTTTAAAGCCTGAAAAGGGAATCCTCAATGGTGTAATTTAGCCATCAAGAGCAATGGGACTATATGATTTACATCAGCTGAGAAGCTGGTTGTGTTTGTGTGTGTGTGTGAAAGTGTGAGCGCTACTGAAGGAAAGCCTGGGCAAAAGGGGGGGTGTTGCTGTTAGGAGAAAAAAAAGGCCCTGGGTGCAAAGTAGGTGATTTGTTACCACTCTGAACTGGATTGTTAAAATGATGTACTAGCCCCTGGACTAAGGAAGACAGCTATGTCAGAAAGCATATAGGCATAAAGTTAGTAGGATTGACATGGGTTTAGGCTTTATAGCATGAATGGTATGACATAAACTATAATACTCCTCCATATTTTTGAAAGGCTGTGGGCTGCGTTTTCATTCAAAACCCTCTTACGTGATGAGTCAGGGCCAGCTTAAGTCTCGCTACAATTTGGGCATGCTGTTTTTTTGTTTGGTGGTTTTTGCCTTGCATTAGTAGTTCTACTGACTGCAGGTACTGGAGCAATAGCTGATTTACTGTTTGGCAATCCAAAAACATCCATGATAGAAGCTGAGACTTAATATGTTCCGTGTTTGTAAGTGACCTCAGTGATTTTCCCCAGTGATATCCGTTTCTCATGAAAGGTGTATTTCTTATATAAATCTGGAGGAGCTCACTGTGTGTCTGACAAAGTCACTACTATGTGAGCACATTTCAGTGGGAGGGAGGGAAGTGATGACCTCATGTGAAACTGCAGAACAAAAATAAACATGTTCAGCAACTGCCTTATAATGATTATATACTTAAAGAAGAGCCTTTTATTGCTTAAAATTTCACAGAACTCAGAAATAAAGGGAGCCGTCTTATGGGATGTTTAGAAAGGAAGAAAGTCATTCCCAGTAATTTCTCAGGGTGAGGAACTATTTGAAAGACAGTTCCCTCCTGCCACTCCCGACTCTGAAATTCATCATATTATCTGTTAGTTTGAAACTGCTCTTTATGGCCGTGTCCACACATGGTGCACCACCGCTGCTTGTCCCCAGGGAACACCCGTGCCGTACAGGCTCTGGCACACGGTAAGTTACCCTGGGTGGGATAGGGGAGACTGGGGCAGCACTGAGCTGGCCCCAGCTGCCTTACCTGGGGTTCTGGGGGCTCCCAGGGCTGCAGCAGCGGCAGTTCTGCCATGCGACGCCTGGCTAGCAGCCACAACACATCTCCAGGCAGCCTGGCTCCGCTTTTGAGTGGCGTGCATTGCCCGCGTGTGCTGCTCTGCTTTTTTTTTTTTTTTTTTTTTTCCGTGGGTTTTTTTGATCCCTGGATATCCACTTGTTTGACCCCAGATATCCAGGGTTTTTTTGGCCCCTGGATATGCAGGTGTCCTCTGTGTTGCAATGGAGCAGCGCAAAGGGTTTGTTTTTAGTTGTTCCATTGCAGCATAGAGAACATCAGAAAAGACATGTCTGCGGCACCACATACCACACAGCTGCGTTCGTTTGGACATGGCCCTTTTTCTTCAGTTCAGGTTTAAATTAACTCAACTTTGTGAATCCTTGCATTCTCCCATCCTTTCCTCTTGCTAGTAAACTGAAGTTTACTAACTGGCAAGTCTGTGCATATTTGGTGGTGTATTCTGTGACTTCTAAGTACAAACTAAGTCTCAATAATAGACATTAACTGGATTAGTGTAATGAATGTCTTCAGTTTACCTAATACCATTTTTGGTATGGAAGTCAATTTACCTTTGGTTTTATATGCGTCTAAACTTTGATCCCAAATATTTTTCCACTCAGCTTTAAAGTATAATTTTGTAACGCAAATAGGACACTCTGAAGGTAACAACAGGAATTAACCTGAACGGAGCAGTGTGGTATCTTTCTGAAAGTGTTTATGATATATGCTTGCTTTGTAGTATTTGTTGTAGGATAAAAAAGGACATTATCAGGTTAGAGATTGTTTGTTTGTTTGTGAGTGTATTTTCTCTCTCTCTCTCTCTCTCTCTCTCTCACACACACACACACACACACACACACACACACACACACACACACACACACACACACACACACACACACACTTAGGAAGCAGAATGAAACATGTCAGCATTTCAAGTATCAACAGACCTGTTGCACAGTATTTGGCTTAAATGTTTTGAATGGTTTCTGTTGTGATTTCTTTAGAATATTTTGTAATAAACTGCACATTTACTGTTTTTTTATGGTTGTGTTACTTTTGTTCTCCAGTGAACAGAGTATTTGCCAAGCCCGGGCTTCAGTTATGGTCTATGACGATACCAGTAAGAAATGGGTGCCAATAAAACCTGGACAGCAGGGATTCAGCAGAATCAACATATACCACAACACCGCCACGAACACCTTTAGAGTAGTTGGAGTTAAACTACAAGATCAACAAGTGAGTAACCAATATGCATTGTTTCTCCTTTGATCTCTAAAGAGATCATTTAGTAGGTAGTTAATGCAGTAGAGCATAATTTCCCTCACCTACGAAGTGTTTGTTAATTCATATTTTAGTCCAGCCACTTTACTCCTGTCTGCTTGATTGACCAGTGAACGTACTTTTATCTGTTAAAATTTGATGCTTTTTCTTTGTTTGTTTGCAAAAAGTATCTTCATTACATTTCCATCATGGAAGATTTTCATACATTTTCCTTCTCCATTTTCATTTGTGATCATATTATCTGCTGATGTCTTTGCTCCCTGCTGTTTATCATCACAATTCCATTCATAGTACAAACTTTTAGCATTGTACACACTGAATAAACCATCATTCAGTCTTCCTTGAGCATCTTCTAGATACGATTCCTGCCTTCCTAATTAACTAACTAATACCTCATATTGTATTTCAAATCCCTAGGCATGTATTCTGACTTCATGTACAACAGCATCAATCTAAAGTAACTTGTTTGGCTTTAATAGAGCTACATGGGATTTACTTAATAAAAACTGAGACCAGAATCAACTCCTTACTCTGCATGACAGGGAGCCATTATTGCTAGTGATGGCACATGTGTTGACCTGAAATTTGATATCATTTGTCCACTTGGTGTTATGTTCACATTTATGATCCAGTATACTATTAGGACTAGAAATCATTCCCACTTTAATTTTTAATACAAAGGGCTAGGAGCCAGGGGACCCTTTTTCTGTTCTTAGCGCCACCCCTGACTCATTTGGGTCATAAGGAACATTGCTTGCATTCAATGGGTCCCATTTTCTCCCATTGGTAAAATGTGATAATACTTAGTTTGCTTTAAACATGTGCTAAGGTGCAGTGGTTGTTAGTTGTTAGAAAGTCAGATGGACTCTCAGTACCCTGATTAAAAAAAACAACCCTGAAGTAACTTTAAAATCCTAGTATGCTTGTTTTTAGCTGTTTCTTTGAAACCTCCTTCAAAGCCATATTTTCCACCTCTGCTTTTACCTTTTCTGGTCAAAACAGATATAGGTGGGTGTGTTGTAATATAAACATAAAACTCATTATAATATGTATAAGTCTTAATCATTTTCTTGTTATTCTCAATAGAGTGAAAATAGCTATATCTGCTGTGATTAATTAATAATGAGATTAGGTATCTTGGTTTTTGCTTGGATGTCAACATGGCTCTGAAGTGCTGCAAATTATCAAACTTTTACTACCTAGCCAGCACAGAGAAAACAGATCATAAGTTCATGTGGGCCCTGCATAAATATCAGCTGTATAAAAATCACTAGCAATTGAGTGGTGTTTTTTAACTACATATTTATAACCCCCTAGGGCTTGCTTAATCAGATTCTACCATTTGAAGGTAGGTCAAATTTGAGGCTTGAACTGTAAATCTTGATGATGATGCTTTAAATATATTATTACATTAATATTGACTACTAATCTTACTGCAGAAGTACCTATTTATATGAAATACATAAGGGGACACGCATCACAACTGAAAATATCTAAAAGCAGAAGTAAACAAATATAAAACAACCTACTTCTCTACTGGTTTGAGCTATTCCAGGTGAAAAAAAGTTGTGAAAGATACCTTGGGGCATGTCCCCATATGCTAGGGCATGTACTTGCAGCAGGGAAAAAAGTAGCAGCAGAAATTTGCACCACTACCAGTATCTCCTGGTAGCAAATTTTGTCCCCAGTCTGCAAATTTGCAGCACAGGGCATGTCTTAATGTGCCAGGCATGTGGTTTGTGGCGCCACAAACTGCACGTGTCTGCACGTCTGGATCCAGCCTTGTTCTTGCTTAAAGTCACTTAAACGTTGCATAAAAACTGGATTTAAAGATAATTGCAGAAATTCATTTACAATTAGATCCATTTGAATATATCATGTATAACGTATAGAACTAGTATTTAAAAACCTTTAAAGACATTTTCTGGCATGCAAGGAATGGGGTATTACTGGAACCAAGACTCTCTAAATATGTTGTTTGCCTTTAACAATAACAACAACAAATTCCAGTGTTAATTATTCTTCATATAGGCCAGCTCATGCATACTTCCAGCTTGTGTGCTACAAAGCTGGATTGAAAGGCAAAGGTTTGTTAGAAATAAGACATCAAGTTTTCCTGGATAACTGTTTAAAAGGGTCAGGTCCTCAGCAGTCTGGACAGGCATAACAAAAATTTAATGGAGCTATGCCAAGTTATACTAGCTGAAGAACTGGTCAAACAGCTCTAGCACAGTAATGCAGCACAGAGGCAACTTAAATTTGAATTGCATGCTGATGACTGTAACCTACATGACACAATTCTGGTCTTTTACTTAGTTTTGTCTTCTTACTCTGGATCTTTCAGCAATTTTCATTTTAATTTGCATTCTGTCCTTTCTTATATCTTCCACTGTATGCAGCTTTTCCCTTTTTCTTTCTCTAGCTGATTTTTCTTGCTTATTATCCTGCCTCCCCCCCCTTTTTTTTGGTTCTCCCTTTTATGACATTTTAAGTAGTCTACCCTCATTTTCCTTCTCTTGTTCTCAGTTTTAGCAGTTCTGATCACTGCTAAAAAACTCACTGCACAAAATTCCATCCTGCAAACATGAAGTTGAGTGTGATCATATATAAATTTAGTAACTGGAAATGGTCACTGAACCTCAAGAGTTGTTTGCTTTTAATTCGCACGGTTGCTCTCTCTGTCCCAGCTGCCGTGGTTAAGTATATACTAAAGGCCTATGGTAAACAAGTCATCTGTTTCCTATGCACAGATGCATGTATCTGCAGACTCCTGCCATCATGATTGACAAACCCAAAATGCAGCAGCAGTAACAGAGGCTAAGGCATTTTTGGAGCTGTAGTCATAATCAGCATGCTAACTGCTTCCATTTTGTTAAAGTTCTTCACTTTGAATGTATGCTTGCAGAAGGCAGCTCCTTTAAGTCAGAGCTATGATTAAGTGATTTTTAAGTGAGAGATTTAATATCAAGTGATCTGGCCTTAGGGGAAACTAGTTAGTGATCTCACAAGCTGCATATGGCAGGTCTATCCTAAAGAATAGATGAGGCAAGTCAAACATGAATTGCTCTCCTGGGAGATTTACATAAAGCTTGGACCAGCAAATTCATGTAGAAGTGGGACTTTGGAACAGCTGGGACTTCTCAGATTTGAACACAGCGCAGGCTAGGCCAGGATTGAGGCTTCTACTTTGATAGCATCTGCTGAGTTAAGTATACCCCATTTTTTAAAATATAGAGTCATATTCGCACATGCTACACTATAATGAAGTTGAGGAGAGTTGGACCTACTTGCAGCAATGCTGAGTCTGAATTGCATTTATGGACATAGGAACCATTCTGAAGTGATTTAGCCAAAATCCTCAAAGTTCTAGGAAATTTGTGAATGTTTTGGGTGCCACAGTACCAAGCTAGTAGGAGATTCCTGTTCACCCTGTATCATCACTGTCATCATTATCATCATCGTCATCACACAGAGAATAAGACCAAATCATAGATCAGAGTCCCACAGTTTTGGGCTTTGTACAAACCCATAGCAGTACCTGCCCCCAAAAGCCTTCAATCTGAGTATAAGATTGAAGTACAAGACATGGGTACAACAGACAATAAGATAAATCTGGTTAGCATGCAAAGTGATGGGAACACTGAAAGATGATGCATTTTAAAATGGATAATAAGAAATGCTTTTCTTTTTACTATTCACAGCTAGGTTGTGGAGCTTATTGCCACGGGCTGTCATTGATACAAAGAGCTTAGCAGATTCTGAAATGGAATCACACATTTTTATAGGTAACAAGGATACCTGGCCTTACACAGGAAATAGTAAAAGGAGAGGGGAAATAATGTTCCGAAAGGAATAGTAAGCTTATGCTTCAAGGCTTAAGCCAGTTGCTATATCAAGTGGTAAAAAGGAAGCAGAACCTTTCTTTCACAGCTTACTGCTGTGAAAGTTTACTTGCACCTACCTCTGGCACAGCTACTATGAGCTACCAATGGAAAATAATACCAGGCTGGACAGACCACTGGCTGGGTCCAACGTGGTAGATTCTTGACACACATGACTGTGGAGGGATCTTCCCCTAGAAGTGTTTATAAAAGCTATCCTTTGAACATTGGTTATTTATTTTATTTGCTGTTTCTGATCATCAGACTTTTAAAGTCATGAGTTATCTTGTGATCTCAACACCAGCTACAGCAAATGCCACACTTTGCTTGTTCTTTCGCCAGTGTATAAACAACCTTCTCTTTGCTTTATTCCAAGCTTACTGACTAAGGGAGAGACCATACTCTTGCTATTTCCTTTTCTCTTTGCTGGTTTTAAGGGGGTCACCCTTAGAAACCCCTTTATAATTCTTTTGAAGCCTCAGGATAGATAGTATGTGTGTCTTTCTAAGCGTGTTGCTGCTAGCATAGTGTGAGTTGATGCGATCAGAAAATAAATCTGTCTTCATCCAAGCTAAGTGATGAGAGTGAGACCCCCAAAGTGAGCCTAGTGCTCACTTTGCCCCACCTAGGACCAAATGTCCCACCTAGGACTAAATGCCCTCAGAAGCAAATCAAGCAATTTACCTGTCTTGATGAATCATTTATGGGGAAGCAGTTTTTTACAGTTCATATCTTTCATTATATTAATCACTTGTGTGCCACTCCATGAAATGCTCTTCAGACTTGCATAGACCTGTTTGTCTATAAGTATGATACTCTTTATAGAGGAATAGGACAGACTTTGCATTGTCCTGAGATGGCCTCAAAGTCATCCCAACCCTGTGGGGAGGCTGTGATTCCCTCAGGTAAGTTAGAGATACTTGGAAGGTTTTAAAATATTTGACCATGAAACTTCCCATATTTCTTTGCCTAAATCCCAAGGGACTGTCTGTAGGATGTCATTTAGTCTTTCCTGCTGCTCAGACATTGTCCCTGCTGCAGTCAGACTCCATCCTGCTTCCTTTTTCTCTGGCC